TGAGAGCAGGCCGCTGCCGCGCGTGCACCGGGCGCGGGGGGCGCCCCGGCAGCAGGGCCCCGGCGCCGGCACCCGCGACGTTTTCCAGAAGAGCCGTTTCGCTCCCCGCGGCACCCCCCACTTCCGGTTCATCATCGCCGGGCGGCAGGCCGGGAGGCGCTGCCGCGGGCGCCTCTTCCAGACCGCCTTCCCCGCGCCCTACGGGCCCAGCCCGGCCTCCCGCTACGTGCAGAAGCTGCCCATGATCGGCCGCACCGGCCGCCCAGCCCGTCGCTGGGCCCTCTCGGACTACTCGCTGTACCTGCCACTCTGAGGCGGCTCCCGCCCCCTGTGAAAATAAACCCCATGCCCGGAAGTGGCGTCTCCGTGCTCGTGGGTCGCGCCGGATGAGGCGGGGCTCAGGCGGTCGGCTTCCGGGGCACAGCTCCCGGGTACCTGGGCCGCCATGGCGCTGCCCTGGCCGCAGCGCGTAGAGCTCGCGCTGTTTGCTGCCGCGTTCCTGTGCGGGGCTGTGGCGGCTGCGGCGCTGACCCTGACCCAGGTGCGGCTGCGGGGCGGGGCCGTCCTTGGGGTCGGGACGGGTGGGCGTGGTGACTGGCCGGTCCTGCCATGGAGTGGCTCCTGCTGCTTTCCGTCCCAGCTGGCTGCCGCTCGGAACTGGGGGGCGGTGTGGGGCCTGGTAGGCGCCGGCCCATTGTGAAAATGCAGCGATCTTAATTGCGCTCCTTGGCTCCGCTTGGCCAGGTCATGTTTTAAGTCGCTCCCTTACCGGAGGAATGAGTCGTCAGAAGCGTGCTTAGAGCACCAGACAGCCGGGCCCGGTGAGGCTCCCGCTGCATAAACCTTAGCCTGGTTCTGAAACAAGTCGGTCGAGGCCTTGCCGTCATCCGTGAAAGCAGAAGCTATCTGTGCTAAGCTATGCCGATAAACAAAGCATAGAATAGTGGAGAGGATCAAGCTGCCATATGATTGCAACAGTGTGTTAAATGACAAAACAGCGATGTAGAAAACGCTTGTGTAAAAGCAGAAGCCAATAATTTACAGTAGAGTGTTTATCCCAGCCAAGCAATTTTATTAATAAACATGGCTTCACCTAATCCCTGTAAAGTAGGCACTAGTGTAAGACAACGGAAATGGTTACTTGTTGAAGGTTACCCAAGGTCTGGGTTTACTCCAGGATTTCTGCACAGAGGGGAGACCAGCACTTGTGAGGCTTCTCTGAAACTCATTGTATCCTATAACCACTGCCTAGTGCTTAATCCTTCTGGCCACTACAGGTTTGATTCCCCAGCGCGCCCTTTACGTTAATCTCCCTGTCCCAGTAGAAACTGACAATGCACAAATTACCTTCCTGGAGTGGCTCCGGCCTAGGTTATCAACACCACCTGCCATGAGACTGCATCCAGAGGCACTAACCTGAAATCTAGGACTCAGCAGTTTCTCTCCACAGGGCTCCTTCAGTGGCAGCTGTCCCTTGTATGGTGTGGCCACCCTGAATGGCTCCTCCCTGGCCTTAACTCGTCCCTCGGCCCCATCCCTCTGCTACTTTGTGGCTGGGGCTTCTGGCCTCCTGGCCCTCTACTGCCTCCTGCTTCTGCTCTTCTGGGTCTACAGCAGCTGCATCGAGGACTCTCACAGGTGACTGCCCAACTTTGAGGGCCGGGGGCCAATGTGGGATGAATTCCATCTCAACCACAAGGCTTGTTCTCTCCCCCTTAAGAGGTCTTACAGGGCTCCGCATTGCACTGGCCATCTCGGCTATAGCCATTTTCCTGGTCTTAGTGGCTGCCTGTATCCTTCGATTTGGCACCAGTTCTCTCTGCAACTCCATTGTCTCCTTGAACACTACAAATAGGTAATGGGAGAGGGGGAAACCTGGCTGGGGTCGAGTACCTTCCTTTGGCAGAGGGGTCCTATAACTTCCCTTTTTACCCCCGCCATTTACTCTCATCTGAGAGCACCTGGGTACAGGTGTGCTCAGGGTGTATCTCTTTCTCACAACTGACCTTTACCTCACAGCTGCTCTGAAGCCCAGAGAATTCCATGGACGCCCCCTGGAACTGCTCTGCTGTTTTACTCCAACCTACACAATGCTGAAGTGAGGCCCTAGATTACAGTGAACAGATAAGAATGGTTTGTTGGCGGGAAGGACTGGATCTGAGATGGCCCCACTCCTCACACTCCTGTTCCTGTCTCCCACAGACCTCTTCTTGGGTGAATCTGGTACTGTGGTGTGTCATCTTGGTGCTCCAGGTTGTGCAGTGGAAGTCCAAAGCCACCCCATACCGGCTTCTGGAGCGGGGTGACCCTGAATGGAGTTCTGAGACAGATGCTCTTGTTGGGCCACGCCTTTCCCATTCCTGAAGAGTAACCAGAGTGCTTCCTGCAGCCAAAGACTCTGTGCCCAAGTGCCTGCAATCCTCTTGCCTCCGTACGGCCCTGTTTATGCCGGGAGCCTGTTTTCCCTCCACGAGGGAAATGATGATAGGCTCCCCTCACCTCTCTTCCTGCTCTTTTTGTACCAAAATACTGTATTACTTTCTTCTTCTTGGTACTGTGTTCTTTTTCTTTTTCTTTTTTTTTTAAAAAGATGACCGGTAGGGCCGGCCCGGTGGCACACTGGAGAGTGCGCCGCTTGGGAGCGCAGCGGCGCTCCCGCCGAGGGTTCGGATCCCATGTGGAGACTGGTTCCCGCTCACTGGCTGAGCATGGTGCGGGCGCAACACCGAGGGTTGCGATCCCGTTACCGGTCAGTAAAAAAGACAAAAAAAGGAAAAAAAAAAAAAATTTCTAGGGCCGGCCCGTGGCTCACTCGGAAGAGTGCGGTGCTGATAACACCAAGGCCACGGGTTCAAAAGATGACCGGTAAGGGGATCTTAACCCTTGACTTGGTGTTGTCAGCACCACGCTCTCCCAGTGAGCTAACCGGCCATCCCTATATGGGATCCGAACCCGTGGCCTTGGTGTTATCAGCACCGCACTCTCCCGAGTGAGCCACGGGCCGGCCCTTGGTACTGTGTTCTTGATGTTAAATCAAGTAGATGGGAGGGAGGAGTGAACAGACATAGGTCAAAACTTAAAGGTACTGTCAGGCAGCTAGCCGTGGGATGACTGCGCCTTTATTTGCTGTTAATCAATCTTGGGCCACCTTGTGTGATCCTGGTTGTCACCCCATCCCTAAGGCTCAGTGATTATCTCCTTTTGGGAGGAGCGAGTGACCCAAAGTTGTTTCTTCACAAGTTCCGGTAGGCACCCACAGTGTTGTCAAAGAGTTGAGTGTTAGGGAAGTGTCCAGCTTTGTCCAAGAGGAAGTAGAAGCGCCGGCCTTTGATCTTCAGAGGCAACATGGCAGGGACTTCACCCCGGTGGGCCATGCAGGATACTTGGTTCAAGGGAACAGTAAAATGAGCCCCCAAGCCAAAGGGGGCATGAGTGGTGAGGGTCACATGCTGCCCTCCAGCCCGAAGCATCACTGAACGCACAGATCGGAGGGAGAAGAGAAGAGCAGCACCAAGTATCAGGGTTCCTGCAGGAAGAGCAAAGACGGGTGAGGGGGTTTCCCCGGAAGGCTAAGGACCAACTCTTTCAGTGCCCCTGAATGAAATTATTGCAATAACAGTAACATTTACTGAGTTCCTCTTATATCCCCAGAATCTTGTGCTAGTTATCCCCCCTAACAATCTTAATACATGTCCATCCCATTTTAAAGGGGAGTAAAAGGGTTCAGAGCTTAACTTGCTCAAGGTCGCAGAATGAAGGGCAGACCTCAGCCTAGGACTGTGCAAGGGTGTGGTGCTCGCGACTTAAGTGTTCGCCCGCCCGCCCCTCCTGCTCATCTGGGAGGACAGGGAGTCACTTTCTGCCTAAGTAGGAGGGTCGTGCACAGCCACCCCATGCCTTACCGATGGTGCCGCAGCCCACAGCCAACACGTAGCGCCAGAGCACCGAGCGCAGGTCGAAATGGCTACGGTCTGAGGCCTCCGCGTCCTGAGACTGCGCCGGCGCTCGGGACAAAGCTGCCACGGCCAGGGAGGACCAGAAGACGCCCTGGCCTGCACAGAACAGCCCGAGGACGGCGAAGAAGCGGCCTCGTTCATGCTCAAAGAGCAGCACGTCCCGTGACGGGGCCGCATCGTGCAGGAGCTGGGGTGTGGGAAAAGGCCGCACCGCAAGGTGCAGAGCCCGGGCCCACCGCCACCAACGAGCCGCCATGGCCCGCGCCTTCCGCTTCAGGGGCGGGACTTCCTGCCGCGAGGCCACCTCCCCTCCCACTCGCAGCTGATCAGCCCTGGGAGCCCCAGGCGGAACTCGCCTCCCGAGCAGCTTCAGTCCCAGCCTGCCCTCCCGCTCAGGGATGGGAGGAGACAGAAACAATCCAGTACACCTGACACAAAATACAATATCACTCTTTATCTTAAAAAGGAGGATCCTGGGGTTAAGGACACAAAGCACCTAAGTCCTTCGGGTAGTTTAGTGTCAGTTCTACAAAGTACGCTGTGGCTTCCTGGCACCAGTGAGGCTCAATCTTCTGAAAGTCTTCCAGAAGGCAGGTGAGAAGAGGGATCCAGCAGCCCTCCCTCCTTGGTCACAGTCACAGGGTGGCCTCGGGCCGGATAGGAGGAGACGACAAATGACAACCAGATAATATCCAAGGGCTATTTACAGGGAGCCTTCTTCTGGGCCATAACTATGGATCACTTCATGAACGCCACTTCTGGGATCTCGCCCTTGGCCTGGAGTAAAAGGAAAGGTCAGTAGAAGCAGGTTCCCCCCCTCCCCCGTCCCAGCTTACTTGACCCTCTTGAAAGCCCAGAGATCCCTTTTTGCCACTGTATTCCCAAACCTTACCTTGAGATGAATGAAGGCCTGGGCAGATCTGGTATAGTCCCAGTTGTTGTCCTGAAGGCACCTGGAGTGCAGGAAGAACGGGCAGATCCATGAAAACAAAATGCACTCACCCTGACCCCTAAATGCCACTTCAAAATGCACTCTGGAAACATTCGCTGAAGTCTGCCAGCAATTATATACACTCCTATACATTCTTGCACTATTTATACAAATGAGAAGTTAGCAAAAATCCAAATGTCTACCAACGGTCTATCAAACATAAAGAATATTAAATAGCTATTAAGAAGACCAAGACAGTTTTTATAAAGGTAGGGAAAGACGTTCATGAAATAAGTAAAGAGACTAAGCTGCAGAATGGTATATAAAAAGGGACTTCATTTTTAATTTAACACTTGTTATGAAGCAAAATTTTTATGGATAATCTTTTTTCTTTAAGCAACAAGTTTTGGCTTTTTTTTTGTCTGGCTGATACGGGAATCAACCCATGACCTTGGTGTTATAAGGATGCTCTCTAACCAACTGAACTAACTGGCCAGCCCTGTCTCAGCTTTTAAAACTTCACGAGCACTCATTATTCACCACCAGCCCTACCTCAGTTAACCCCTATTCCTACACACGCCCGGCACTCACTTCTGGGACCACTCAAGATTCATGCCAGACCGAGTAGAAAATGCTTGCAACATTTCCTGCTGCTCCGGGGAAAGGGTGGGCACTGGGCTGGAGGAAGGCGTGGGTGCAGGCATGGCAAAGGCGCGTTGGATCTCTTCAGAGCTGGCATTCCGCACGAATAGCTCGTCATTTACAATACAAAGCCTTGGGAACAAAGAGCACCTCAGACAGAAGGACAGACTGATAACCTCATCCTCCTAACTGGTCATTCCTATTTTCATTGACACCTGACACTCAAATTCTTTCAATACTCACGAGTTACCCCCCACCCCCAGCTGTTACCTTCTCCCATCGACTCCATGTTTGGGAGGGTTATCTACCAAACACACTAGAATTTTCCCCCAACCCATGGATAATTCTTAGCCCTTTTATCTTTATCTTCACAAAAAACTTAAGTAGATATCATTATACAAATTTTCATATAAGGTAACTTGCCCGTAGCTAGAAATGGTAGAGCCAGGATGAAAACCTAGACAGACTCCAGAGCCAACCTCTTAACCACTATGTGAGCTGCCTCCTCTGATTTCCCGTTGCCTTTCTGAAATTCTGACAATACCCCGAGGACTGACTACCCTCCAATTACACCACATTGCTGGCCATGGACTGAGATTCGTGCCTCCCGTGGTAAGCAAACACTTACCCTGAATTGCTGGCAGGAACAGCAATGAACGTCCGGGTGAATGCTCGCAAAGAATCCCGAGACTTTCCATCCACTGCAATGAGAACAGCAGCAATGACCCCTTAAAGTCACTCATGCTTTATTTTATGTTTAAAACGGCTTCTTGAATCATGGTCTTCTTTGATACAAAGAACCCTAAATGGGCCAGACAGGAATGATGACATACGTACAGAGAAGCAGAGGTGGGTGAAGAGTCAGAGATCAGGGCAGACAATAAGAGTAACAGCTACTAACCCACCAATGGAGTGCCTCTGTGCCAGGCCCCAGGTCAAGCACTTTATAAGTCATTTTATTTACTTCCTACTGCATCACTATGAGGTGGCTATTACTAACCCCATCTTACAAATAAAGAATCTGAGGTCCAGAGGTAATGTGACTTGCCCACAGACCCAAGACTGGAATGGAAACTCAGATCTACTTGACTCCAAAGTCTGTGTCCTCCTCATCTCCAGGTTTTTCCCACATCCCAAACAGGAGAGGTGTAGGGGCAGGCCAAACCATGATGGCTTGAGGGGCAGAATGGGAGGAGATCAGGGAAGAAAATGGAAAGAGAAGGTAGCTGAGAAGCTAAGAGTGCTGAGAAAGAGTCTAGCTAAGGGAGGGGCCATGCTACAAACTCAGGAATCAAGATTCTCACCTTCCTTGAAGACCCCATTGACAGAAAAACACAGCAATGTGCTCTGAAAGAGAAGCAGCATCACGTACAATGTAGGCTTCCCAGGAGAACCCAAGCCCCCCTTGCCTCTTATTTTTGTTTGTTTAATTGTATTTGTTGGTTTGGGTTTTTTTGGTGGCTGGCCAGTACGGGGTTCTGAACCTATGGCCTTGTTGTTAAAAGGTCATGCTCTAACTGAGCTAACCAGACAGCACCTCCCCCGCCTCTTAGATGCCGCCCCAACAACCCCCCAATTCTAGGCTTCTGTCAGGGCAGAAATAGGTGCTTACTGTCTGGGCGCTTATGTCTACCACAAACGAATTGATGTCATGCTGGGTTTTGGGCAACTCCCTGAGGAAGGCAACAACGTTGAGACGTGTGTGCTTCAGCAGCCGGAATCGCAAGGCTGTGGGCAGTAGAGAAAGCAAGGTTGGGGCTGCCATGCACTCCGGAGCCCTGTAACTAATTCTTTTGCATCCCCTTCTCCCATCCTGTTTTGCTCACATCACACACTTACTGGGGTCTTTAAGCTTCTTCACATTTCTGCTATCCTTGAAGTATTCAGCCAAGGTGCTTCTGGGGGGATGAGAGAAAAAGGAGGCAGTGGTCAGAGCAGAGTGGTAGCTAGCAGGTGCCAGCCTGTATCCACTGGCAAACCCTGCAGTCCTGGGGCAGGTTCTGGGATGGAATACTCACCGGGCAGGGTTCTGGGGGATGAAAGGAATACTCAGGGAGCAGCAGGCCCCATCATGGTAGGCATCCAGGAGCCCCTGTCGGTCTCCAGAGTCATAAATTGCATAGTATCTGTGGGGAAAACAAAAGGGCAAGTCTGAGCTCTGCAGTCTGGAGCCACAAAGGAACCCAGAAACTCCCCAGAGTGAACTGTGCTATGGCCAGCCTACTTCTCCCCAGCCTCAGGGGCCCTGGGATACTCACTGCTGCAGGAAGTGCAGGACCAGACTCTTCAGGTTTTCTGTTCCAAAATAGCTCCCCTGGAATCAAACAGATGTTAGGACCATGGAAACAGTACTCTCCCCACATACAAGTTTTTATTTATTTTATTTTTTATATATTTTTAAAAATCATTTTTATTTATACATATTTATGGGGTACACAGTTGACTATAGTATTTGTGTACAGTATATGATGATCAAATCAATATTATTAGCATGTTCATCATTACAAATCATAATTACTTTCTGCTCCCCCCACCACAAGTTTTAACTCTGTTCCCCCTTCTCACCTTGCAGGGTGGCAACATTGTGGGGGCTTCGACATCAAAGGCAATTGGCGGGGGCAACTCATGACCGTCCTGTTGAAAGGAAGTAGAAGTTGACAGTGTAAACCAGAGGGAAAAAAGCTGGATGTGTAAGTAGGTGGAAGAGCTAAGAATGAAGGGTCAGAAGTCAAGTGTAAAAGAGACATGAAAAGTGTGCATAGGAATCCTGACACAAGCAACTTTTTCTTTTTTTAAAAATAAACCAAACCCGAGGCCTTGGTGCCATCAGCACCGCACTCTCCCGACTGAGCCACAGGCCAGCCCACAAGCACCTTTTTCTGACAGGCAAATTTATGTTCATATAAAAACATTTTAGGGGGCCGGCCCGTGGCTCACTCGGGAGAGTGCGGTGCTGATGGCACCAAGGCCACGGGTTCAGATCCTATATAGGGATGGCCGGTTCGCTTACTGGCGGAGCGGGGTGCTGACAACACCAAGCCAAGTAAGAGCCCCTCACCGGTCATCTTTAAAAAATAACAACAAAAACCAAAAAACATGTTAGGCCAGAACTTGAAAGTACTGGCTGAGCGTGGTGCTGACAACACCAAGCCAAGTAAGAGCCCCTCACCGGTCATCTTTAAAAAATAACAACAAAAACCAAAAAACATGTTAGGCCAGAACTTGAAAGTACTGGCTGAGCGTGGTGCTGACAACACCAAGCCAAGTAAGAGCCCCTCACCGGTCATCTTTAAAAAATAACAACAAAAACCAAAAAACATGTTAGGCCAGAACTTGAAAGTACTGGCTGAGCGTGGTGCTGACAACACCAAGCCAAGTAAGAGCCCCTCACCGGTCATCTTTAAAAAATAACAACAAAAACCAAAAAACATGTTAGGCCAGAACTTGAAAGTACTGGCTGAGCGTGGTGCTGACAACACCAAGCCAAGTAAGAGCCCCTCACCGGTCATCTTTAAAAAATAACAACAAAAACCAAAAAACATGTTAGGCCAGAACTTGAAAGTACTGGCTGAGCGTGGTGCTGACAACACCAAGCCAAGTAAGAGCCCCTCACCGGTCATCTTTAAAAAATAACAACAAAAACCAAAAAACATGTTAGGCCAGAACTTGAAAGTGGGAGATGCTATGCTTGTTAGAAGAGAATAAAAAAAGTTATGGACTTACCAGGCGTAATAACTTGGGAAATCGTTCGCGAATGGCGCT